GTGTCACACACACACACACACACACACACACACACACACACACACACACACACACACACACACACACACACACACACACACACACACACACACGTGACACAATAAACATTCTTGCCAACGGTTTCACAGTTATCTTCTAATCTGCAGGTGGTCACTACATCAAATGATACACAGCAATGTGGGAAGAGAAGACTGCAGGGAAATAAAGCTGTAATAAAAAGATGGGAGTGGTCAAAAGGGGTTTGGAGACTTCTTCTTCTCTTGGCTGAGTGTCAATGAATAGAAATAGCATAATTTTGATTTTCTATAAAAAAAAATGCAATGAGGTTCCTTTAAGCTGGTCGCTTTAGTTACCATTTAGTTTGCAGGTTAAAATTGTTGATGTGAAACATACCATAAAGTCAGTATGATGCATTGGCATGGCTCATATTAGCCATCTGCCAAGCTAGTATCAGCTAATATCAGTATAAATCTTTTAAATGCCTCATGCATTTAAATTGAAAAACTAAAGAGCAGACATGAGAAACACACTTTCAGAGATGCCGATACTGCATATTTTGCCCACAAGAGGGCACTCTGCAACATTCTTGTTAGCTAGACACGTGTTTGAAAACATAACAAACATAACAGTCAGCTGAGGTTAGCAGAATCAAGCAAAGCATTAAATAACTAAACATAAATTTTCTTATACATTTGTTTAACTTTTATGTGTGTCTGAAAGAAAAAGGAGTACTGGACATTATATCAGAATATGAGATTTTTAAATAGGCAAATGTCAGGCAGTGATGTTAGAAATGCTTTATCAGTCAGGCTCTAATCAACCCTGGGTTTCATTCACAGATTTGTGATATACACACTTCACACCTGTTAGTTTATGCAGTTTAATAATTCCATAGTTTCAGTCATTGTTCATTTTCAAGGAACAACCAAGAGACCTCTGTGTATTTCACTTTATATCAAACAAATTTGTCAGATGTAGCTTCTGAAAACTGACTTATGACACTTACTGTGGCTTTTTAGACATATATACTTTTTATTTAATAATTTATTTATAGCAGCATCTCATCTTGGATGTTGACTTGACCTTTTTCAGTGCAGCTACGCCGTAAATGCTGCAATTTACTTGCAGGCGTCTTATGCAATGATAAAGTTAGATTGCACACAACTTAACGTTTAGGTGGGTAAAAATGTTTCAGCCAGACATTGTCCTGCATACGTTTTAAGGTAGGTAATGACAGAATTATATACGGGCAATTTTAGACCCATCAGAGATGATTGTGCAGTGACTCAAATTTCCATTATAAATCCCTCCACATCAGTCAAGTGGACACACCTTTTGGGGGGGGGGTTGGGAGAAACTGTCCCCTCCCTGTAAACCCTGGTCAAATTCTCTTTGAACACAAAATACAGAGGTTTAATGAGCTGAAACAATCTGTGCCAAATAACAAGAGCTGGCTCATGCCAGCAAATGTGTTTGTCTCTCAAGTTCTAAAAAATCTTTCTCCAACTTGTCTGCTTCCCTGAATCTGACCCATCACCCCTTGTTTTCTGTGTTTGTCCTCATCACGCCTACAACTGAGCAGGGCTGCTCTGTACTTGAACTACACCCACACTCCAGTCTCCCAGCGAGTGGACAAACATGTTATTTCCCAAATCAGAAATCCATTTGCAACTTCTTGCAAACACTTCCCACACAGACAAAACGGTATTAAGAGCTCGACAAGAGCAAACTGTCCTTTTTTTTTCCCAGACGCGTAACCCTGCAATCAACCCTGCGGGATAAAACTACACACGCTTTAGTTTTAGGTTCTTCAGGAGTCTCCACTCTTTTCTCTTCTCTTTGCAGCAGTTAGATTACTGAAAAACAACAGGAACACCGTGCGCTGTCTGATTGCATAGTTGCACAAAATGCAAACTTTTTTCCGCTTTGTTTGATTTTTCTGTCCAGATAAAATGCAGAGGACGGAAAAGAAAAACAAAAGTCAGATTAGTGCTGGTGAGGTCACTGGGGTTCAGGTGGTGTGGCTTACATCCTTTTCGACTGGAAATCACGACGCTAGTTCTTGAAAGAAGCTTTTCTCCTCGCCAGTTTCACTCACTTTCCTGGCCAGGTAAAACGTGGCCTGGCTAAATCAATTTTATTCCCGACTTTTCAGAATCTCATCTCATGAGATGTTGTCTGGTTCCGTCAGTTTATTATCAAGTATAATCTTGTAAAAGGAATTCAAATCAAATTACATGGAGATCTGTGGCTCTGCTAGATCAAGCAGCGTTGGAGTGGCTGCTTGACATACGCAGAGATACTGTTTCACTTGCATTGCGCTGATCGATTTCTTCATGACTCACAGACTACATTGAGAGAAAAAAAGAAGAAAAGCTTAAGTTTAAGTGTTTCTTACATCTCCCCCACTGTCTTTAACACCTAGGATGTTTGGGTGCTGAGAAAGCTCCACCACAGCGTCCAGTGGCAGCTCCAGCCCCGTGTTTGCCGGCACGCTGTAGAGAACCACCGGCACCGGGCTGCTGTCCGCCAGCTGCAATAGAGAAAAAACAGAGGTGCGACCTGAAATAAAACACCTGTTGAAGGTTCCCAAACTTTCCCTGTCTTTTCTTCATTTACAGTGACTCGGATCAGGCTCAGACTATAAGAAGACAATTCCTGGTGGCCTGGCCGGCTGACATTCAACTATGTGCAACTATTAAAACTGCGATGGGCAAATAATGATCGCGAATCGTGGAAGCAACAGTGAGCAGGTACTGCAGTCAGAACTGCAGACCACCACACATAATCAATTAAACATTGTCTGGAGTGCAGTGTTGATACAGCTTCTGCCATGTTTGCATGCATGGAAAGATTCCTGAAAATGAAAACAGCTGGCTCTAATTATTCTGTGATAATCAGCACAGGTCCGATCACAAGTCTGAGGGTGAAAAACAAAGACACTTTATTCCTTGTTATCAAACTCCGGTTGGACTAGCAGCAAAATGAAAGAACACTCACACTAAAACTTCCTCCCACGTGGTGCTCATTTAATCTTCTTCTTTCATTATCTTCTAAAAACACTTTTTGTACTCGTAAATCTAACTGACGTCGAGCTCAGCAAAGCGTAGATAATATATATATATAATGCAATATTTAAACCCAAAGGGCCGTACTGCTTTGTTGTAATAAACAGACATGCTTTACTTGAGAAGTGGAGAAATATTATTCTAATAGATTTTTTTAAACACAGAAGCTCCTCATAGAGAATTCTTAGAGTAACTCTTCAATGGAAATCTGCATAATTTTCAGAATTAATAAGCACACACATTTATATAGTTGTTTTGACACACATGATCACATGGAAATATAATGAATTTTTGTTTTTGTATTCATCTCTGTTGCATCTTTTACCCTCCTCTGAGAGTGCTGCGGCACCTCGCTTTGGGAAGCACTGATTGTTCATCCTTTTTTTTTTAAAAAACACCAAATCAAGGCCTAACCCCAAATTTGCGTGGCACTCTGTTTTCGTGTGTTTGCGCTGACCTTTGTGAAGTGATGGATCAGTGCCCGGCTGTCCATCTTCCCCTTGTAGAAGCAGGGTGTTACCACAAGCACAGCGTCGGCTCCGGCTGCTGCCATCTTCTGCGTGAGCTGGATCGTGGCTCTGGTGGCTGAACAGGAAAAGGAGGAAAGGAAACAACTTCAACACAGACTTTCACTTTTGACTAATTTAATCAAGCAGAATCGCTAGATTAATGAACCTCCTCTGTGCTCTGCAATAGTTACATTTACATTATATTACCCCACCCCTCAGTCCACAGAATAATATTCCGGCATGAAACTGGTCCATGACACAAAAAGCTCGGGGAGCACTGGAATAACCCGTTTTGTCTTTGCTTGCAGTATTTTATAAAAGCTTGACTGGGACAGTTCACGTAGTAAATGTGCCTGCAGAGTGTAACTGTAACCTCTGATGTAAACACTGATTAGCCACAGCTGACAAACCACCTGCCAAATATCGTTTAGTTTACCCCTCTTGGCACCAAACCAGTGAAGGTATGAACGTGAGATCTCTGAGGATGTCCTGAGGCACTTGGATCCTGCGCATGCTTTGGGTCCCGTGGGTTGCAGGGTTCCTTGAGTCACTCCTGAGCAAACTGTCCCAGCCCATCGTACAGTAACCCCAGCTTTAATGTTGTTATGTTTGTATGTTACATTGTTTAATGTTGTGGCTGATCATATGTGAAGTAAGTGATGGAAAAAAGAAACCAGGAGGTTTTTACACAAGCGGTGAACGTAGGAAGGCTATGGAAGTAGAAGTTAATGCAGACTCTCGTCTCTCTGAGTGTTTATTATACGTTACAGAATGAACAGCCTATCAAACTCTTACAGACTCCATTTGACTCCAATTATCAGTCCATCAAGACCGGTGACACTGCTGCTTCTATAATAAGCTTCGAATCGCAGTCATTAAAATCCAGAATGGAAAACATAATGAGTCAATTTAAACTTTTAGCACTCGTCGTACAAAACTCTGTATTATTCACAAAATATTTCACTTCTTCTCCCTGAACGTGCGCAGATCAGAATGAAATTACACTCGATTAACAAAAAAAAAATTTCTAAATGTTTTTTTTATCATTTTGTGCCTTTCACAAAGAGCGTTTTCTGCAAAAATAATTAACTCTATTCACTTAGAAGAGGTCAGAGTTTAACTAGTTTAACAATTTTTTTTTTATGTTTTCCATTATAAATGCTACAATTTTCCATTTCAGTGGTCGCGCTGCATTTGAGGGGCTTTGTTCACTGTATAAGCAAAGTTTGGAGAAGATAACCACACAGCGTGATCATTCTCTGTAATGAGCTTCAGTTCAGTGTCACTAATTGTTTTCTAAAAATGAAACTTCTTTTAACTGAATTGTGAATTATTTTAACAAAACATGAAGCTGGCTAATTATTGTGTTTACTTAATATTGTTTATCACTGAACCCGCCACTGTAAAGTTAAAGCCTGAGCTCAAAGGAGCTGAGAGACTTACATTCACAGCCTGATCCGGCTATCAGCAGCCTTCCCCCCAGCAGTGATTGTTTGACCGTCCTCACCACCTCCACCCGCTCCTCCACCGTCAGATAAGGATACTCACCATTGGAGCCCTGAACCACCAGGCCTATAACGATAAAACACATGATTTTTTATACTTGAGGTGTTTTTTGGGGGAAGGGGTTAGCTCTGTAAAGAAGCTTATATGATCTCAAAATGTATCAGCCATTTCTAGATGACCCACAGCTCCCTAAAAACCCCTAAAAATGTCAGACTTTTAACTGTTTTTGTCAGATTTTACACCCTTCTCATTTACAAAGACATTTGAAATCCTGCATACTTCAACAAAGTAAAAAAATAAACTGTTGTTAATATTCCTTTAAATAACAGAAAAGTTCCTCTTTTCTCCTAAGTTCACTAATCCACACAGAACTGTGTCTATAAAACAGTTTTAGAATTATGTTCCCTGATGTAAAACTGGGACAATTTTGAGTACCTCGTCATCTCCAAACATATTACTATAAAAACACTTCGGGAATGTTGAGAAATGTCTGGGACAACACTGAAAATGAATACTCGACCCCGTGATCTCTGGGGCCTCAGGCGGCACTGCATTAAAAACATTCTGTCATGGAAGTCACTGCACGGGTCCAGGAACACTTCCAGAAATCACGCGTGCACAGTTTGCTGTTCCATCCACAAATGGAGATTAAAGCTCAATCATGCAAAGAAGAACCCACATGTGAGCATGATCCAGAAACACAGCCGTATTCTCTCTGAGTCAGAGCTCATTTAAAAAGGACTGAGGCAAGGTTGAAACAACAAAGTATTCGGTGGTCACACAAATCAAAATTCTTTTTGGAAAACACGGATGCCACATCCTCTGCACTAAAGAAGAGAGGGACCATGAGGCTTATTATCTGTGCTCAGTTCAAAAGCCTGAATCTCTGAAGGTTTGGGAATGCATCAGCGCTTATAGAATTCACAGCTTGCACTTCTGAAAAGACGCCATCCCTGCTGAAAGGCATGTACAGGTTTTAGAGCAACACATGCTCCCATCCACATGAAGAAGGCCTTGCATATTTCAGCAATACAATGCTAAACAGCATACTGCAGCACCACAGCATGGCTGGGTGCTGACGTGCCCTGCCTGCAGTCCACACTTTCCACCGATTGAAAACATTTGGCATGTCATGAAATGAAAAATATGACAAAGAAGACCCCAGATTGTGGTTCTGCCAGAATCTTCTATCAGCCAAGAATGTGACAACATTCACCTGCAAAATTTGAGCAGCTGCTCTCCTCAGCTGGCTGACATCTACAGACGGTAGTTAAAAGCAGAGTGGATGCTACGCAGCGGTAAACAGGGCCACGTGCCCACTTTTTTTAGATGTGTTGCAGCCATCAAATTCAAGATGAGTTCATATTTTTCTTAAACTGGTGTATTTTCTCAGTTTAAACACTTTGTTTTCTGTGTTGTATGTGAATAAAATATACGTTTATTTATTTTATTAAGAAAATCATCCAGCTATTATTTACATTTTACAAACTAATCCAACTTTTTTCTGGAATTGGGGTTGTATCCTCTCTTTCCTCTGTGCCAACATTAGAGCGAGCAGCCTCTTGTCTTATTGCCCAAGTAATAACTGACATGTAGGGCAGATAGAGAAGCTCTCGGCTTCTGTCTGTCAGACATAATATCAGTATTATATTATATATTATATAATATTATATAAAAACATAATATCAGTATTATATTATATATTATATAATATTATATAAAAACATAATATCAGTATTATATTATATATTATATTATATAAAAAACATAATATCAGTATTATATTTAATATTATATAAAAACATAATATCAGTATTATATTTAATATTATATAAAAAACATAATATCAGTATTATATTTAATATTATATAAAAAACATAATATCAGTATTATGTGTAGGTTTGCTATTTGCCAATTTCATTATAATTAATTATCATTTAATTATTGATAAAATAAATGTTCTGGTCAATGAAGAATAATCATGTAGAACGATCATTTAGTGAACAACAGTAACATGTTGTGGAAGCAGAAGTGCAAATATTTCCTGCTGTGGACGGAAAGTAAAACTCAGGAGCAGGTAACGAGCACCAGGGGGCGACAAATCCAAATCAGGCCCTTTACGTTTTTGCCTCAGTGCTGAACTTTGTCCTGTGTGTCTCGTCCCTAAGCAAATACAGACATTATCCATGGATGTCAGACTGCGGCGCATGCAGCAGTGCAAACAGTATGCAGCTGGTGTTTTACGCTCCAAGCTCAACTATGGCTTCATAATGTTCTGCGCTGTGTAAATAAAATCGACCTTATGCGCATCAATGACCTCTTTGTTATTCACACAACTGTTTTTGATAACTTTGACTTTTGCGTGCCTCGGGCCTGACCTTTAAATGGGATCTTGGCGTATTTCTGCAGGTTTTCCTCCAGTTTCTGATAGTCTACATCCTCCTTGGCGGTGAACGGGGTGGCAATAGGCGGATAAATCCCGCTGAGGTCCAGCCTGGCAGCTGCTGTGTGGCTCTGGGTTCGTTTCCATGCTCTGTGGTGACCTACCCTGCACAGGTAGTTCAGACTTCTCCAAGCCCGGACGCACTGCATTGTAATTCGGACACAGAGTGACTGGGGTGCTCGCTGGCGGTGTGCTGGGACTCTGTGCAGCTGCTGCAACCGAGAACAGTTAATCACTAACCTGCTTCTTCAAATATTGACCACAAATAAGTAATTTCTAAATCCCCAATCTCAACCCTAAACACCTCTATCTCACAACAGTGGGACACCTAAATTGCGTAAAACGGTTTTGTGATAATTTTACAACAACGTCCACATGACTGAAACCATTAACTACTTTAGAATCAGTTTTAAAAGAACGGTAACACGATTTACATGGACTCTCGCGGAAGTTCAATACACAGCCACTGATCCACAGCTCAGCCCAGGATCAATAAGGGATCATCAACCACAAGCAAGTTTTGAAATAAACGCAAAAGGGTAATTACGACCGATCATGTTGTGGCCAAGAAAATAAATAAACAAATAAATTAAAGTAAATTAAAATAATAATAATAATAATAATAGTCTTTTAAACTTTTATTTCAATATTTCTTGTGGAAAGCTGAGACAGTTGTGGCCTGTGTAATCCCTTTAGTATGATGTATAAGAGGGTAAACATAAACATGCTTACAGAAAGATGCTTATTTGATACTTTAACCGAAACTGGGATTTAGATGTTTTTATCAAACATTAACTGGTTAAAACTCACAATCGTTTAATAACCATAAATGAACAAAAAAAGCACAATAGACTCAAATCCAGTTTCTCCTCTCTCCAAAATCACTGCTTGATGTATTAATTAAGCAATCATAAAAATAAGCACATCTCAACAGAGGTCATTATAGTTCGCTAAAACTAAATTCAAAACTAAAACTGGAAGTGGAAAAAAACACGTTAGTTAATTACAATAAAAAAAATCATTTAAAAAACTCCTAAAAACAATTAAAAGGAAAACTAACTAAAATAAAATCAAAATACAGTTACATTTGGTTTATTTTAATTAGAACTTGCCTCAATACGCTTTGGTGGACGTGCTTATTGAGTTTCTACGAGACTCTGTGAGTCAGCTGCCTTCAGAAAGTTATTTGTTTTTATTGTAATACCTGTACTGATTTTCACAATTATTGCCACCGATGTATGTAATAAAAAAAACGAACTAAAATGAAAATGAAACACGTGAAAACATAAAGGGAAATCCACTCTGGAAACTAACTGAAACTAAACAGAATTAAAAACAAAAAGTCGAAATGAACTAATAAAGAGAAGCGGAAAATACAAAACTGTAATAAGACTGATCCTGACATTCGCTCTTCTATTGTTGAACATTTCCAGTCAGCAAACGTCACACAACAGACAAATAAAAAGTAACAAGAGGAACCATTGGGGCATTTTTATGGACTGTATATTAATCGCTATAGCAAAGCTTATATGAGATGCCACTCAAAGTGATCTGATTCAGCTTTGAGCGACGCAGATCCGACACGTTACTGTCTGTGCTGGTGGATGTGACGAATACCCCCAGATTCTGATAGCCTTTACACTTCTGCCACCTTGTGGAAAAAACAACTTATTACGTTCAATTTACAAAATTGACCAAATCATAACATTCTCTGCGGTTCTTTCCATTAATGATCTTTGATTTATACCAGATGGTATAAACATGCTGTCTAGAATGCTCCCAGTTAACTGAAACTACAGAGTGAATCTTGGAGTGGACAAAAAAGACCCCCTTTAAAATGAAAAAGAAAAAAAAATGAAGCCAAAATGCAGTGTGAGAAAATCTGTGTCTGCCCTTACTGCTTCCATGGAAAGAAGGAGAATAAGTATCAGCCAGGTGCAGAAGGTTCATTCAGCTATGTGTTAACATGATGTCTGGGAGGAAGGACATTAGCAATGATTAAACAACCAGTTGTTGCCGCCATTCAATCTCAGAAGGTCATCCAACCAATTTGAAGTCCATCATTCTATAGTGAGAGAGGTTATTCAAACACTAAAAACAGGATGGGATGTGCCTGCAAACTGGCCCCAGTGTCAGACCATGCAGTGGTCAGAGAAATTACAACAACAACAAAATAGCTGCATTATTTGCATTATTATTTCTCAGTTATCATGTTTAATATTAAAGTTCATGACATTACAGGTAAAGAGACTGAATTAGTTTGGCTTGTTTGAAAGAGAGGTCTTGTCTCTCTAAATAGAACATCACTCAGTTTAGGTTTGAACAAACCACTAGACTAGTGGAACAATGTCCTTTTGGACCACTGAGACTAAAATAGAGATTTTTCACTGTAAGGCACAAACACACAACACATCTACAGTCAAGCACAATGGAGGAAGGTTGATGATTTGGCTTGTTTTGAAGCCACAGGACGTGGGGACCTTGCAGTCACTGAGTTGACTATGAACTTGTGTCAAAGTATTCTAGAGTCATATGTGAGGCCATCTGTCCAACTGACTCAGGGTTTATGTTATGGACTGTTTTTATCAGGTGGGATTATATTCTAAGTTGGGTTATACTCCCTGAGTGGTTTATGTTTGATTTTCTTGTACTTTTGTGTTCTCGTTTGATCATTTAGTTTTCTGTTAGCTTCTTAGTCATTCTTTCATCATGTTTAGTGTGTTTCTGTTTGCCTTCAACCTCACGTGTCCTTTCATCTGTTTCCCTGTCATGTTTCTTGTTTCCTGTTTTATTTTGACAGTCATTTGTCCTGTATTCAGGGTATTCAGTTTTGCATCCTCTCTGTCTTGTTATGTCGAATTAGTCCCCGCCTGTTTCCCATCCCCTGCTTGTCCTGCTTGTGTATTTAAGTCTTCAGTCTTCGTCTGTTTGTTCTTTTGTTTGTTTCTTCTTATGTTTGTGTACTTCGTTGTTAGTTTGTTTTTCCAAATAAAGCTGCTGCTTTCAGTCAAGTTTTTGTCTTGGAGTCCTGTGTTTGGATCCAACCCCTGCCTGCCACATGGCTCAACATGACACCAAAAGCTAAGGCCCGGTCTACAACAGGACAATGATCTCAAGCACAGCAGCAAATCCACAACAGAACAGGCAAAAAAAGGAACGAATCAAGCTGTTGCAATGGACCAGTCAAAGTCCAAACCTCAGGGGCCTTAATTCCCCCACAGTAATGTGACAGACTGATAAAGTCTGATTACTTTTGGTATTTTTTGTCATCCATTGTTGTTTTTATTTCCATGTAGAAACTACAATTAATAAAATAATAAGCAATAATAGCAGTGTTTCAAAATCGGCCCACGCTGAAAGCTGTTGAACCAACTTTTGTTAGCACCTTTTAGCCCGTGAGGTCTGTCATCATCACTGCTGATCATTACTCTAACGCTCACCCAAAACAAACAAACTAAAAAATTTGTTTGTTTTGTAATAGACTAAACACTGAAACTTGGGTGTGTTGTTGTTCTTTTGCTGTGATGTTCTGTTTTGCTGTTTGATCCCATTATTTTCACTGAAAAGCACATAGGGATAGTGCAGACAATGGGCTTGTTTTAAGGCAGCAGTTTAGGGAGTAATCTTTATTAACACAGCTAACTAGCTAACACAGAGTCAAGGTGCATGATATGGGCTTCTGCTTGCTCAACAGTCCTGAGTATTCTTTATATTTTTCATTTCATTACAGAAGGTTCAATATTGTCTTGTTGAAATATGTAAGGCCTCAGCTGCAAATGACATCATCCGGATTGGAGAAAATGTTGCTCTACAACTTGTTTAAGTCTTTTAGCATTCATCTCCAGGTGTGCAAGCTGTGAATTCCAGTCATTTCCAGACATGAATGCATTCCCATAGTATCAGAGATGGTTCCTCTCTGCTTGCAGAGTATCCATGTTTTCCAAACAAAAGGAATTTTAAATTTCAATGTGTCAGACCACAGAACAGTTTTACAATTTAGCTCAGTCTTTTTGGAATCACTGGGTTTCTGGATCATGTCCACATATGGCTTCTTGGAGCTTTAGGTGGCATTTGTGAATAGCACAACAAACTGTGTCCACAGAGAGTCATTTCTGGATATTTTTCTGATGCAGTGACTTCCATGACAGAACCATGTACATCTTTAAAGCAGTGCTGTCTTATAACCCGGAGATCACAGCCAATTAATACTGATTTTCAGTCTTTTCCTTTGCACAGAGATCTCTTGAGATTTCTCTGAATCTTCTGGTAATATGAGATATTCAAAGTGTTTGCAGTTTTACACATTTTTACATGAATATTGTTTTTGAATTGTTCCACAATTTGTTAATGTGTTTTTTCCTTCTTTTTTTTGTTTTGTTCTTTTACTTATTGGTGAATCTCGACCCATTTTGACTTCTGAGAAACTCTTCCTGTCTGAGATGCTCGTTTTATACCCAGTGATGTTGCTGAGGATAAAGTCATTATTTAAACCTCGATGAAGGTGAAAAGGATGCTTGGACTTGCTGAGCGCAACATATGTAATGTAAACTCCACAGTGAAATCCACGAGGCTATTATTAGAAAGTTGCGTCAGGGCAAGGTGGCGAGCCACCCCCCGTCCCTCTGTGTGTGTGTGTGTGTGTGTGTGTGTGCTGGCGAACATCATTATCTGGTCCCTCCTTCTTCCACATGGACCGGAACCGCGCGGCACGTGACCCGGAGACCGTGGACTGAGAGAGCTTCTCACACCGCATCATGGCTGCATCCAATGCGGCCGCGCGATACCGAGCCGTCTCCCTGCTCTGCTACGGGGCTCCGCTCTCTCTGAGCCGGCTGCTTCTGCTCCTCTGCGCCTGCTCGCTGCTGCCAGCCCCGGCGCTCGGGTTGCTCGGTTTTCGACCAGAGGAGACCGGGGCGGAGCTGTCCGTGGAGGACGGGGTGCTGAAAGCCACCGAGGGGACTCGCTTCATACTTCGGGTCTACTATTCCACCTCCTCGCAGAAGCTCAATCGTGCTCGTGCCAACAATGCCGCGCCCTGGATCGCCTTCATCGAAGAGCCAACTCCCGGTAGAGAGGGGCAAGTTCACCCGAAGCGAAACATGTGCATGGACAAGAACGCCAGCACCTCCGACATCGAGGTTTTGGGCTCTTTCAAGTCTGCTTCCAGTCAGAACTCGGTGCTGGTGGAGCTGCTGGCCAAAGACCTGCGGAGAGGGGAGAAGATTAAATATTATTCCATGTGCGCCTTTGACGGATCCAAATGGGAACACTACCGGACTAAAGATTTTTGGGTGGCCGTGAAGGAGCGCTCAGCAGTGCCGGAGCTCTGGCTGCAAGTGCTGGTCTCCGTCCTCCTGCTCGGGCTGTCAGCTCTGTTCAGCGGGCTGAACTTGAGCCTGCTGGCGCTCGATCCAGTGGAGCTACAGGTCCTCCAGAACAGCGGCACCGACACCGAACAGAACTACGCGCGGAAAATCGAGTCTGTGCGTCGGCATGGTAACTACGTCCTGTGCACTCTACTGCTGGGGAACGCGATCATCAACGCCTCGCTCGCCGTGTGGATGTGCCAGATCCTGGGCATGACCTGGCTCTCCACGGTCATTTGCGCCTTCGGGATCTTCTTCATCGGGGAGATTCTTCCACACTCGGTCGCATCGCGCCACGGCCTGGCCATCGCATCCAAAACCATCTGGGTGACACGGCTGCTCATGGTTCTCTCCTTCCCCATCTCATACCCCATCAGCAAGCTGCTGGACCTCATCTTAAACCAGGAGATCTCCAACTTCTACACCAGAGAGAAACTCTTGGAAATGTTGCGAGTCACCGACCCGTACCACGACTTGGTAAAAGAAGAGCTCAACATCATACAGGGAGCACTAGAACTGCGCACCAAAACTGTTGAGGACGTCCTGACTCCGCTGACCGACTGCTACATGCTGGCCTCGGACGCGGTGCTGGACTTCAACACCATGTCCGAGATCATGCAGAGCGGATACACGAGGATTCCGGTATTTGAGAACGAGAGATCCAATATTGTGGACATTCTGTTTGTGAAGGACCTGGCGTTTGTGGACCCGGACGACTGCACCCCCCTGAAGACCATCACCCAGTTCTACAAACACCCGTTGCACTGCGTCTTTAACGACACTAAACTGGACGCCATGCTGGAGGAGTTCAAGAAAGGTGAGAAGGGTGTTAGAAGGGAGTGGGTGTGGCATGTTAGCAGGTTGCTGATGCTTCAAGTTTATAACTTAAGCTGTAACAAACTCTGTAAGTAACCTGGGTGAGAAAAGCAGGTGAGAGGTGGCAAAAAACAAACAAACAAACAAACAAACAAACAAACAAACAAACAAACAACAAAAAAACCCCCAACAACCCCGAAACATTCCTGTTGTGTACTTGAACTTGATTTATCTTTGCACTCATGATTCCTGTTTTTAACAAGAAAGTTTTTTCTGCAGTTCATCATACTTGTGATACTTTGCAGATGTTTTCCGGCGCTTTGAAGTGCTACAGTTGAGAAAGGGAGCAGGAAGGACTCAATGTCTCACTGCGGCACTTGTGGCATGCACACAGGGAAATCAAACCCTCTAATAAACTAGTATTTAATGTATTAACTTGAGACGGCAACTTGTGTAATGACACATAATTTGTTTTCTGCCACCTTTAAATTCGAGAATGATATGGGCCCTGGAAGTTGCAGCTGAGACAGCTGACCTATCTTTTAGCAGCAGTGCTTAAACCTCTTTCATCTCCAGATGGAATGCAAATATGCACTGTTGCAATCTGAAGCTGAAAAGGAGCTGTTCTTTTCCCCCTTTTTGTGTTTTTGCAGTGTGCACAGCTTCCCCTGCAGATTCGAAGCAGTCTTCCATCCTGCATGCAGGCAGCAGGCTGTTCCATCTTACTCTAGAGTTTTAAATGGGTGGGGTTCGAATTGGCCAATCACAGACCTTGCTGCTTATCACTGCCTTGCTGCATTCTCAGGGACCCTGCAAAGTCAGCACTTTTTTCTGCTGTGTTTGTGGTGAGGAGAGGAAGATAAATAGAGGACACCTTGGCCCAGGCAGACTCTGTTTGCGGGAGACGTTTGTATTTCTGTCTGTTTTGGCACAAAACAGCGAAAAGCTTTCACTGCCAAATGTCACAGAGGGGTTTCTATTTATTCTGAACATCTTTTTAAGCGTGTTGTAGTGAAATGCTTTTGGAAACATTTTATAAACTTGGTAATGGTAGAATTTTCCATAAATGTAAGCTGTTTGACTCTTTAGCTTTAAGCACAAAAAGTTTGTCTTGTCTTAGACATCCTGTAACAGACAAGCAAGACCTGTGTGTGGATTTAAAATGAGCTGCATATATTTGGATTATGTAGTAGCTTGTACTGTATGAAGCCAGATGCCATCAGAGCTGCAGGATGAACACAAATATAGTTCTTGTGTCGCTCTGCAACAAAGGGATCTGGATGAGATAATCTACACAGTCAAAGGATTATAAACAAGGTCTGTCCTCGGTGTGTGTGTGTGTGTGTGTGTGTGCGCGTGTGTGTCTCCCTGTGCCTCCTTGTCTCTGTGTAGGCACTGCAGCAGAAAAACTCAGGCTCTTTTATTCATTTCAGTGAGACTCCTGCAGTAGCTGGTGCTCACAAAGAGAGCTGCAGGAAACACACAGCTGCAGGGTGATCTATGGCACCGTGTAAAAGTCTTAAGGCACCCTTCATTTCTTTAAAACTTTCTAGGAAATGGGAACAAATAATAGTAATAAAAGCAATAGTCAATGATCACCTTTATTATTTAACACAGCCTGAACTCTCTTAGGCAAATGTTCTTCTGATTTCTTTAAGTAGTCTTCAGGGTCTGCCTTTTGCTCTGTCCTCTGTTAAAATGATCCCAAACTGCTTCAATAATATTGAGGTTTTTCTATCCAGGCATGCTTATACTGCATTGGCGGTGTGTTTGGGATCATTTTTGTGCTGAAATACGAAGCTGTTGGGATTCAGACACTTTCCAGATGGTATTTCACAGCGGGTCAAAATCATCATGTGCTTTGTCTTTATTCATAATTCCATCAGTTGTGAATTGCAAACACCACTGGCTGAAAAGCAACTGCAAAACATGTTTTACTGATGGCTGTAGACACGCATTGTTGCACCTCTCTCCTGTCTTCCTTCTTGCATATTGATGATGGTTCACATTTGGATTCATCACTCCAGAAGACCAGATTTCTGCTCATTTTCAGTTCTCGTGTGATTTGTTAGATCTCTCCTGTTAAATCTTTCCAAAAAAAATTCTTATAGACATGACTCTCATATACTGTTCATCAGCTGTCGATAGATTTCTAGGCCTTCTTCTTCTTTTGTAGGTTTCCTCGGATTCTTTAAGGACACACTGCACAATATGTGAGGAGATGAGATATGACATGTGTTTGGCTAATAACTCGTTGGGAATCAACTTGTTGATTTAAATATACTATTTTATGCCTGTTAAACTGTGCTATTTTTGGCATTTTTATTGATCCCATTAAAACATGAAAATGATGGTAGTAACAAAGTGTCTAAAGGTACAACTCAAAACTGGTTCCTTATTAATTGATTTGTTGTGTGGAGACACCACCCTGGTTCATCCTTGGAAAAAACAAAAACCTCCCTCTGAAAACAGTTAGGTACAAAGACTGAACTGGAAATGAGTAAAAAAAAATCCCAAATAAAAACTTTAAAAGATCTTTTAGAAAGCCTGAAGAATTATCGCTTTAAAAATGACAAGAAAGTCTGACTGCTTGGAAGCAAAACACTAAGAAATAAGCAGTGCCTCAAGTCTTTTTGCACAGTACTGTATAATGCATCAGTGGTTGCTCGACATATGCCTGCTGGCTTTGTGGGTTGATTTGAGCCAGAGCTCTTTCAATCATCAAGAAAAAGGAACATAAAACTAAAGAAATGAAATTCTGAAGAATAACTACAAATAAAGGGCTGATTATCTTTTATGCAAACACAGTTTTGCACTTTAGCCTTAAAGCATGATCATACCATATTTATTTGCATAGCATTTAGATGATCAAACAGAGCAGTCTGCAGGCCACAGGCATAGTTGTTCAGCAATAAGCACAAAGCAATAAGGACAGTGTTGAAATCTGGTGTAGAAAACCTTTTGTACAATTTTCTTGCTTATGTGCCGCCTTGTCGTCATGCAGATGGTATCATATGTAGAGCAGGATTTCATAAGAGCCAGATTTATGTTGGCTTTTTTGAGTATTATGTATTCTTTTAAAAAAGAAGTAAAAGGCACACTTTTAGTAGTTTTAGTACCAAAATATACTTAAAGTATCTAATATGCTTGCAGTGACCATTTTCAGAGGTATATACATTATATCATTGGGTAATTCTAATGTTTTAGCAGGAGATGCCATCCCTCGTAAAGCTCTAGATACACACTCACGGTTACTTTTGTGTTTTCAGTTGTGAGGAGTAGTAGAAGTACTGAAGTTACCAAAGATGAATATGAGCGGAGCTAGAGCCTGGTCGAAAAAGATGTTGACATTAAACCTCAGCTCTGGCTGAAAGGTCAGTTTACATCCAACCTTTTCTTTCGAGTGCATTTAAAACATTGTAATTATTGCTAAAATTACACTTCAGACCTAAATTCTGACTATAACAGGGAAAGTAGTTAACCAGTGCTTAATGAGAGAGAGCGCATTAGCTGCAGTGCAGAACTGCAGCACATTAGCTGCAGTGCAGAACAGAGTAACAGGAGGGCTGGTTAGCAGAGGTGATAATTGATTGAAAGTAAGTAAAACATTGATGTGATTGGATCTGAAGGCAGGTCAGAGCTGCAGCAGAGAGTCTGCTGGTCTGGTGAGACTGCACAGGGATTCTTTGGCCGGAATGCTAAGCAGTGTGTCTGGCACAAATGAAAGCAGCCAAGTAACACATTTCCTGTTGTGTACAACGGCAGCACCAGTACAGGGGACCTTTAGTTTGCCAGGCATAGGGTTCTTTAAACAGGTGGGAAGCTGAATAAGAGCCCTGTACAGAATGCTTGATCAAAGTGGGTTTAACAGAGAACTGAAACTAGGAAAGGAGTTTGTCAATGAAAGTCAGATTTCATTAATACCACCAAAAACACTACAGTATGAGTTTTCACTGATGGACATGCAGTGAAAAAAAAGAAGAAGTGAATGTTAGTTTAGGTCAACTTTATCTAATGACAGGCATCAAGTTATGCTGTCCTTCTAGTGTAAATTCTGCATCCCTTTACACTATTTTTTCTTTTTCTGAATCCTCTCCCTTCTCTCAGTTCCCCTCAGTATGCAGTCTCCAAGGAGGGAGAGTATAAAATATTCAGTGTGCTGTATTTCTAGTTTGTCTCTCCGCCATCTGTTCTTTCTCATGTCCACTTCTTACATTTCAGTCCATAATCTGTTTAAGAGACATTTTAGAATGACGCATTTTCAAATAGGAACTATTTTCTTTATATGATTTCTTAGTTTTGCATATTTGTCATACTTGCCTGTTTTCAGATCATCAAACAAATTGTAATATTTTAGTAAATACAAAATGTCATTTTTAAATTATCATTTCATATATCAAGGGAAGAAGTTATTCAAAGCTACCTGGCCCTATGTGAAAAGTAATTGCCAACTGTATCTGGAAAGGGTTACAGAGATCTTTCTAAAGCTGTGGGACTACAGTGAACTATGCATAAATGGAGAAAATCTGGAACAGTGGCTGGCCTACCAACACTACTCTAAGAGCACATCGAGAACTCAGAGAACTCAAAAGAACACTCGTCTCAGTTAAGATCAGTGCTTACGATTCAACAGTGAGAACGTGAGTGAACAAAAATGGCATCCGTGGGAGAGAAAACCACTGTTGACCAAGAGAAAACAGAGGCTCATCTTAGATTGGCCAAAAAAACATCTTGACGCCCTCCAAGTCTTTTGGGAGAATATTTTATGGACTGACGAGACAAAAGCAGAACTTGGTGAAAGGCTTACATCCTGTTACATCGAGTATAAAACTAGTTCAGTGCTTCATAAAAAGAACTTCATACCAAAGGTCAAGCATGGCGGTGGTAGGTAGCCTGGGACTTTGTTGCTGGATGACTTGCTGTAATTGATGGAATCATGAATTCTGCTGTCTACCAGAAAATCCTAATGGAAAATGTCCGGACATCAGTTAGTGAGTTGAAGCTCAAGAGGTCTTGAGTTATGTGGCAGGACGATCATGTGAAACACAATAGCAAGGTCCAGCTATATAATTCTTTCCTTTCTCTGCTTTTTGCTATGTTTTTTTAAAGTAAGCTATATTTAAAAACAGCATAATAAAACTGAACATTTCTTTGGTGATTTGAAAGATTTGATGGTGACAAAGATGCAAAAACAGCTACAAAATCAGGAAGAGGATAAATATTTATTCACAGCGCTGTAATGCTCCAACCATAAACTGTGCAGAGAGACAAGTACATCTTTCTGTGAAGAGAGGCTCATGTTATTGATATGGCTGAACTGTAACATTAGCTAGCAGCACAGGGTTTTTGTTTTGTTTTTTCGGATTGAAAATGTAGTTAAACAGAAAGAAAATAGTGCCTACATAAATCTGTTCAGCCACATTTGTGGATTTAAAAAAAAAACAACAGAGTAATGGTTTCAGGAAAGAGCCTTAGATGTTTAATAAATGCATATTTTTGGCAATTTGATCCTCTCAAGGGGAGTGCCTTTTTGTTAGGCAGACATCTCTACAGCCAATATCTCCAAACGGGGGAAATCTAACATAAATAACGCTAGGAGCCAGATGTAAAACTTGTAATTTTGACCTTATGTTGAACTTCCCATAAGTGGCTTGGGAAGAAAAGCAAGTTACATGAGGACATTTCACCTGTCATCCATGAGGCTTCTTCAGATCTGAAGAATTGAACCTTATGAATGCTATGCATCGTTTCTTGTGTCTTGGTTTTGCTGTAGTCCAGTCCCTCTTTACAGGAATGAAACCTGTAGGATGAGCTCAGTTCAGACATGTCAGCTGCCATAAGAAGACATAGTTTAAAACAGCTGGTGCAAGGAGACATTGTTTCCAGGAGCTGAAGGTTTAAAGGAATCCTAAACTTTTGATAAGATTAGTTTGTTTAAAAAAGTTGCAAGGCTATAGACAATAAAAAAATAAATAATAAATTAATTAGTAAAGTATGTTTAAAAATTGATTTATTTAAAATGTACTTAATTATCACATACACTTCTACTACCACTACTATTACAACTAAAACCCAACAACTAATAATAATAATAATAGGAGGAAGAAAAGGAAAGACAAAAGAAGAACACAATAATCGTAGGTCAACTGTGTTTCTGTTCTATTGTCAATAAATTATTGTTTTATCTTTTATGATGCTTTATATGGTATAAAGATGCTTTATATGTCTATATTTTGACTTATGTAGACCAGTTAAAGCTACTTTAGTTTGCCCTGAGACCTTACGGAGGAAGCTAACCCAACGCCATCTCCCCAAGTGAAATGAAGGCAGCCATTTTCTTTCGTTCTTTTTTTTTATTCACCAGGATGGCAGTTGAGCTTTGTTTTGAGGCTGGCCTGAAATAACACTTTGCTCGTTTTTAATGATATGATTGATGCCTTGACAATATAGCTGTTAAAAGTCAAGAATAAAAATGTTAAATTCCAAAACACTTGCTTTGAATAAATGAAAGATGTAATTGTGCAAGGAAAGACACTGAGACATAGTTGCCGTTGTTAAATCTTAAAAGAATCTTTAAAAAACAGAATACTGTGAGAGAACGCACTGCACATGAGCCTCTCTCAGTCCACTTTGGATGTACGCCTGACCTATTTATCTACAAGAAACACTGCCAGAATCCAGAATCGTGTGCATTTGTGTTAGTCTGTGTTTATGCATCAGTGTGTGTGAGGTAGTATTTGGCAGGCAAAGAGTGTAAGAGCAGAGAGCGAGGAAGTTGATTTGAAGCCAGGCTGCTGAGAATAGGAGGGGCTACAAACAAGGGCTCACTCTTTACTCGGTGAACTCGCTCTTCCATTATGTTTCCTACACATCTCAAACAAAATAAGATCAAAAGACAATCCTGTCAGCCTGACTAAGCACTTCATCATTTTGTTTTGTTTTTCTCCTTTGTAAAATATGCTCCCAAACAAGATTTTCATCCAGCAGTGCATGGATTATTAATTATGCCATTTATCTTTGGGAACGCCACAAGATGTTACCTCCAAAAGTGCACACTCATCAACCTGGAAGTAAACACAGCAGGAGCATGCAGACTTTCATATGATGGATTGTGTTTTTGCATCCAGAGCGCCCTTTGTATTAAATCCCATCTGCTGTTACACCCACTCCATTCAGCTCCCGCTGGCGCTCCACTTACTGAACATCAGACAGCACAGCTCCACTCAGTCATTATGCCTCATACTGTGCAGTGAAAAGGGAAGGAGCATTACTTAAATCTAATCCAGAGGCTAAATATGAAATCTAATCATCTTATTTGACACACCAACACTTTACAGGATAACTGTATTCCAAGTCTCACATCTCAAGAATCAAAAGGTCTACTGTTAGTAAGTCAAGTTAAACAAATTCAATCATCATTTTATAAAATTGTTTCCAGCAATCGATTGCCTCAATTTTAAGGGTCTGTACTAGGGTAGCTTTGCATGACTTGTACTTCAAAATAATCCTTATTTATCTTATACTGAGTCTTTGTGCAGCCCATAATTCCCTTCACTGTGGGTTTTTAGGAGCTTCCCCTCTCCTTCTGACTTTACTTTGTTCTGATTGGCTGTTCCTCGTAAACATTACAGAGTTAATCGGAAGGTGGGCGAGGCTTCTGTGCTTAGAGGCAGAGAAGTGTGAATGAGATGACCATATTACTAAGTTGTGTTTGTTTGTTTGTGACATCATCGTTTCGTAATCTTTTAAAAAGACTGACGTCAGCATGTTGTAATAAAAAGAAAATGTAATAAAAACAAAGCAAAGTTGTAAGTTGTTGCCCTTGAGGGGGAAGTGCTCTTTAATGTTCTGTTGGTTCTCTGTTTGTTCATTATTGTGTATTCTTGTTTGTCACATTTGACTTCACTGACTTCTAGTTCTGTGTTTCCCTTTTTTTCAAGTTATTTTCATGAACTTTCTGCCTTAGGTTTATTTTGTTAAATTCTATTGTTATTTTCTTTCCCTTGTGCCCTGCTGTGTAAAGTTTATATGTTTGAGTCTGTTGTCAACTGATTGTGTATTTCCTCTTTTACTTTGGTAGTCTTTTGTCACCGGTGCTTTACATTGAGTTCTGCTTCCCTTGTCTTGTTGTTCATGATTTGTTTCTGCTGTGTTTCCCACCTGCTTTTTCAAGCCTCAGTACCTTTGGTATTTATTGTCTCAGTCTCCCCTTGCCTTTGTCGAGTTGTCCCACATTGCTGTGTGTACCCCAGTGTAGTAATTCCTCATAGCTCTTGGATTTTATTTTTTGTTTTTAGACTGTGCTCTTTTTGACTGCTCCAGCATTAAATGCATATGTTAAATTCCACCTGTGTTCTGCATTTGGGTCCACTAACAATCATCACACTCCACACAGTTTACTGTGACAACCAGTCATGGATCTTACTGGAGAACATCCATATAAAAAATGAAACACTGGGGATAGAAGCTACTATCACTCTGATACTCATCTTCATACAAGGTTGTTAAATAATAGTTCAGTCAAAGTTAATGACTTTGCACGCTGCTGTTGAAATTTCTTTTCCATTAGTGATATTTGTGAAGCTGTGTAAAAGTTAAACAGGACAATATTGCATATTGTTTTAAATATTAAAAAAGGTTATATTTACAGCTGGGTAATCTGAATAGATTTCCTTGTATTTATACATACTGCAAATGGCTTTGAGTGAAAAGTGACACTGATTCGAGACTCACTGTGCATGCAGGGAAGTCCCACCTTGCCATCGTGCAGCGTGTTAACAACGAGGGTGAGGGTGACCCTTTCTACGAGGTGATGGGCATCGTGACCCTGGAGGATGTCATTGAGGAAATCATCAAGTCAGAGATCTTGGATGAGACAGATCTCTACAGTATGTGTGCAAACACACGTGCATGAGCTCAAATGTACGTACGTGGTCAAAATACATGGAAATGTAAGAGTTAATCAGGCTGTTTTTATGTGTCTAAGCTGATAATCGCACAAAGCGTCGTGTTTCTCATCATGAGCGAAAGCAGCAGGACTTCTCCATCTTCAAACTGTCAGAAAATGAGATGAAAGTGAAGATTTCCCCCCAGCTTCTCCTGGCAACACATCGTTTCCTCTCCACAGGTAGCAGCCAATCAAATCGCCTCTCTGTCGCTTACATTTCTGCATAATATGCAACAAGAACATCAGTGTTTTAGCAACTGTAACAAGAATATTTGCAGCGTTTGTCTTCACCCAATCCTATCTTTTTGCTTTTTTTCAGAAGTGGAGCCCTTCAAACCAACACACATCTCAGAGAAGATCTTATTGAGGCTCATCAAACACCCCAGTGTGGTTCAAGAACTCAAGTTTGATGAGAAGAACAAACGAGCCTCTCAGCACTTCCTGTTTCAGCGCAACAAACCAGTGGACTATTTCATCCTAGTGCTACAGGTACCTGTAAGAATTTGACCTTCCGCCATGGCAGTAATTAGCTATGGCTATGATATCCTGTGTGCCAGTCAGTCAGATCATGTTATATTTCTCCAATATTATTTTGCAGGGTCGAGTTGAAGTAGAGTTTGGTAAGGAGGCACTGAAGTTCGAGAATGGAGCGTTCTCTTATTTCGGGGTCCCGGCCATCATGCCAGCAGGTACAAAAGACTTTCCCAAACATCATTGAACTTACAAATATATTAGACCACCACCGAATGTAAGGTTTATACCACAGCAGTCTTAGATTAACATTATTGTTAATTTGCAACATCATTTTTTATGTTTCTATAATGGTTAATACGCTAGTATGCCCATGCTCTTTAATGCTAAAACATAGTTATTGTCTCTTAAACTTACTATTTTAGAAAAAGCAGACATAAAATAGTAAAGCACTTTTTTATTATCATGCCAAATTGGACTTACTTACCCTCATAATAACATAAAATTATGGGTATACAATATGAATTCAGTCAAATCAATTTAATCATTTTTCATTTTTAAGTTTCTAAAACATTTGTCTTGTTTGGTTTGTTTTTTGTATCACAGGTGATTTAATAAACTTGTTAAGCACTGTGTGTGGCCTGATTATTAACCTTTAGTATCTGCTGTCAAAATGATAGAAGCAAAAATCAACACAAATTCACAGAAAAACTAAAAATGAGTTTATAAACCAACGAGCATGAAGCCAGAACTCCACATACTCTGAAACAGCTTCACCATTTACAAATATAAATACTGCAAATTCATCATGACACACCAAAAAAGAGTATACAGAAGATGTAAAACCTCCACCCTAGACTGTAACGCACTTTCTATCAGATATAAACAAATGAGTCGCCAGATATCAAGCCTTTCCTTGATCAGTGAGAGGATTTTAAAATCAAAGCAAATTTGAAAGATTTAGTTGTAGTTGAAACTCTAAACATCTCAGCATGTTTTTAAGTAGTTTGCTGATGAATGTTTTTTTAAAGCAACAAGAAGACTGATAATAAGAAAATTTGTATTTTATTGTATTTGTCTGCTTTGAAGAGTATAGTGATAATTCACAGTTTATTCATTAAAGATTATGATAGAATGCTTTCAGTTGTGCAGTTATATATGCTTGTTAGGCACATAAAGTTAAAGGCACAGATTTTTGTTTCATTTTAATTGAATAAAAACATACACCGTGTTCCACATTATTATGCAAATTGTGTCATAAAGATCAAATAAGTTGTTTTTCAATTAAAGCCATGGATGGAATTGTGTCTCAGGGCTCTTTGGATGACTGAAATCAGTCTCGGACACCTGTGATCATTAGTTTGCCAGGTGAGCCCAATTAAAGGAAAAACTACTAAAGAAGGATGTTCCACATTATTAAGCAGACCATCATTTTCAAGCAATATAGGAAGGAAAAATGATCTCTCTGCTGCTGAAACGTGTGCAATAGTTGAATGCCTTGGACACGTAATGAAAACCTTTGATATTTCACGAAAACTTAAGTGTGATCACCATAATTTTAAGAGATTTGTGGCTGACTCACAGCACACACAGGTTCGTGCAGATAAAGGCACAATGATGAAGGTTTCTGCCAGACAAATACATGAGATTAAGAGAGCAGCTGCTAAAAGGCCAAAGCAAAGCAGCAAACGGATATTTGAAACTGCTGGTGCCTCTGGAGCCCTGCGAACATCAAGGTGTAGGATCCTCCAGAGACTCGCAGTTGTGCATAAACTTTCTATTCGGCCAACCCTAACCAATTCTGACAAGCAGAAATGCCTGCAGTGGGCCCAGAACTACAAGAAGACTAATTTTCAAACAGTCATGTTCCCTGATGAGTGCATTGCAACCCTGGATGGTCCAGATGGATGCAGTGGTGGATGGTTGGTGGACAGCCACCATGTCTCAACAAGGCTGCAACGTCAGCAAGAAGGTGGTGGAGTCATGTTTTGAGCCGGAATCACGGGGAGAGAGTTGGTTGGCCTCTTTAGAGTCCTTGAAGGTGTGAAAATGATCCCTGCAAAGTATGTGGAGTTTCTGACTGACCACTTCCTTCCATGGTAAAAAGAGAAGAACTGTGCCTTCTGCAACAAAACCATCTTCATGCAAGACAATGAACCATCTCCTGCAAGGAGATCATTGGCTGCTATCGGCATAAAAGGAGAGAAACTCATGGTGTGACCTCCATCCTCCCCTGACCTCAATCCTATTGAGAACCTTTGGAGCATCCTCAAGCAAAAAAAAATATGAGGGTGGAAGGCAGTTCAGATCCAAACAGCAGCTCTGCGAGGCTATTCTGACATCCTGCAAAGACAAAGTAGAAACTTTCTGAAAATTCACAAGTTCCATGGATGCAAGAATTGTAAAACTGCTATCAAATAAGGGCTCCAATGTTAATATGAAACTTGACCTGATACTTTTGATTGAAATAGCTTTTGATTTCAGTAAAATTGATCTACTAATGCTGCAAATTCAACAAATGACCATTTTCACTTCTCTACAACCTATAAAATGTTTTGAAACTCTGTGTGCGTAATAATTTGGAACAGTGCATTTTAACTTTTTTATTTTTGAAAAACATACTGTTTTTATTGGCAGTTTTGTTGAGTAACATTTGAATTATACTCTAATGGTTGATGACTCGAAAATTATGCTGACTGTCACTTGACCAACTATTTAGAAAAATTAGAGAAAAATATAATTTGCATAATAATTTGGAACGCAGTGTATTTAAATATCAGGTTAAATGTAAAATGTGAGATCTGCCATTTGCATGTGTCCCTTAGTGACTCCACCATGAAGCAAACACTGTGTAGTGAATGAACACTAGTTCCCTAAACATGCATAATATACTGCTTGAGTGAAATTGTGCAAACACATAGTGTATTTGTGAAAATGCTCTGAAACTCTTCAAAAATCTTCAGTTGTAGCATTTAAATGCTCTGAGTGGCAGCATTTAAATATTTAAATATTATTGTAAGATTTGTGTGGTAAGGAGTCTAACAGTATTAAATATTAGATATAACAGGGCGTAATGTGAACACTTCTGAGTCTTTTAACTGCCATGCACTTGAATGCAGCACTCCTGTCAGCTGCAGCGACATCCCTGAGATCTTTCGTGATTTGACTGACACTCCTCTACCATTTTTCTGTCCTTGTTAAAAGATACATGTTTGATATCATATCCTCCTTTGCAGTCCACAGATCGCCCTCTCGTAGCAGCGGTTTGGACCGCTCTGAGTCGATGCTCTATGGGGGAAGTATGAGCCAGCTGAATGGAGGGGGGAATGTCTACCTGCCAGACTACTCTGTAAGGCAGCTCACTCACCTTCAGCTCATCAAGGTAAAACCTGAAACTCACATGGTGTCTGAAAGCGTTCTTTTCATTTGGAAAGACGACATGCTTTACAATGCACATGTACTCTGACTTGAATGGAGAGGGAGACGGTATAACCATGACTGAAAAAAGTTCATTACATTTATTAACTTTTTGCTGAGACTAAATATGAAGCTACATGTTGGAATTTTCTTACTTCATTTAATTTGGGGATTTCGTTGAAGGACCATTATCGGCACCAAACCAGAGACTGAACTTCATAACGGGATTATTTTATAAAATTACAGAATTACTGAAATGTCTGAAAGCTTATTGTAGATCTATCATAATACATAAGTAAATAAAAACTGTGCTGCCAGCATCTGTGTTCCATCTCATTCATAATATAACATTAGATTAATACATTCTGGTATGATGGGCTCTTACATCACATTGGTCAAGGAACAAATATTTAGTTTTCTGGTTTGTTCTTAGGCTTCTGTGACTGCTCTGAGTTTGCTGAAGAACTGTATTAATGAAGAGCATGTTTGGAGGAAGTCTGACATTCCCAAAATCTTTTGCTCATAGCTCCTTGGAAGAAATATTTCCCTGACTGAAATTCGGACTGAAAAAACTCTGGTCACTTAGGCGTCAGCTATCAGAACAAAATGAAATCAGATAAAAGACAGACGGGGGAAAGTGTAACACAAGATTGCCCACAATCTTTTGTTATTATTGTAGGGTCTACCTTACAATATAAAGCGCCTTGAGGCGACTGTTTTTGTGATTTGGTGCTTTATAAGTAAAATTGAATTGAATTGAAAAAAACAAAAACAAAATTAAATCCACCCCCACAGTATACAACAAATGTTACTGGGATAGGCTCAGATATATTAAAATCCCTGTTATGGTAAACTACAAACTGAGTTCTGATCAATATGAAGAAACTAAGTTTCAGGAAAAATATTAGGATCAGTCCTTCAGAGGACCATGCAAAGTCACAGTGTAACTAATGATGGGAGAATTCTCTTCATTTCCATCTTTTTGTTCTTTACATATCTCAATCATCACAATCATCCAGTCGCCTTCAACCTTGGCAGGAGTACAGTGTTATTACAGTGTACACACACACTCACAGCCATATTTGTTTGGATATCAAATATCAGATGCAGAACATTCACTGACATTATTGTATAACCAAATCACTTACTCCTAAATTTAACATCACCACTGAGTGCTAAAGCGAGCTTGTCCTTAAAGTTTCAGTTTTTTTAAACAGTAACTTAATGATTGCCTTTCCTGGCCGTGGTTAGAGGGCATCGGTGTCTGAGTGGACGAGGTACTAGTGATGAAATTCAGTTTTGCAGACGACTTCTCGCAGTGTTGAAAGAAAGCTATACTGTGACAATGGTGCAACACAAAAGGCCTGAGGATCATTAACGATGACACAAATGATCTTGAGACAATGAATATTTAATGAGATCTCTTGAACTAAGCAGCACACGTTACCGTCCTCATTAACATTGTCCTTGATTTCATCTCACTTGTAGCAAAAGACAAAAAGAAAGTTGACCATGACAAGTAAAGACAAGTCTGATATGATGGGCTGTTACATCACACTGAATAAGGAAAAAACATTTAGTCAAAAATGGACAAAAATAAGAGATTTTTACACTATTAATTATTAGATATAACAGGGTCAAATTACAAAAAAACTTTTAGAAAAGAATAGGTTCACGTTCAACTCTTAATAATACCCATAATCCTCTGCTTCTATGTATCAGATCACCCGGAGTCACTACCAGAATGCAGTAACAGCTACCCGGATGGACAGCTCCCCTCAGACCCCTGATGCTGACACCCGTCTGACAGAAAGCAACTCCCCGACCCCCGGGCCTCCAGCACCAGAGCCCACCACCACCACACTGATGCCCCCAGACCACACTACTGCCACCCTTATGCCCCCACCCAGGGAGCCAAGTCGGCCCAGTTCAGCCCGAACCCGGGGACAGCAGTCCAGTGTGCCACACAGCACCTCCCTGCTGAATGAGAAGAACCGCATTGTCCGTAAGTATCCTCGACTCCAGAGACATGGAGTCATGCCATGACAACAGGGATGACTTGAAGCAGGTTTCATGTCACAGTGATGTCAGTAAGAGATTATTTGAGCCATCAGAGGTAGAAAGCCATGCCACTCCTGCAAATGAGTTTTTTCCTAAATCGATAAGGGTATAATATTCAGTATGACTGGAATTGAATACCCTGAGCTCCCTAAAACAGCATGTTTAAAAACGAGTGAGTGAGAGATAAAACCACAGAGTGAAATGATAGAGACAATATTAATGACATGAGCTGTGTGGGTTTCTTCGTTTTTTCTACTTGAGAAAAAGTTTAAGTGTAGGGTCGGCCCTGAGAGCTGTGTAAGTATTAATTTCCTTAAGTAATTAATTTCAGGTTTTTGGATTAAAATTAAACATTAAATGGCAAATCAAAGTTTAAAGGATTTCTGGTTAGATGAGGTAAAACATTAAGGTAAACATGTACTGGCCACATTTACTATTCCAGTTCAAATTTTTAATGTCATTATTATTCAAGTAAACGCTTCTTTTGACTTATTATTTAATGTATGTTGACATGTCGCGACAAATGTTTTTGACACAGAGTCTCTACAGTCTTGGTTGGAGACTGCAGCTCGACCAAAATGAACTTTCTTTGCCTTTGAAATGGTCAGTTTGAAGGCTGGGACCAGATCTGCAGTCACTCACAGTCAGTTGCCATCTTCAAAGTGATTTTAGTGCATCGAGACAGCAATAAAACAACAATAGGACGTCATCAGTCTGCTATCAGTTTGAGATTGAATGGGTTGACAGTTACATGCAAGCTAGTATAGTGATAGTATAACTGAGATAAATTGGTGAAAAGTACCGATGTGCTGCATTCTTCAATCACAGAAATTCATATTAAACTACTTGAACATTAAACTAACTACTTACGTTCAGAGGCTACCCACCTGGTAGGACAGCAACAGAAATTCTGTTGCTGCAAGACAACAATTTAACTGCAAAATGACACAGGTGATCTGCAGTGGTTTACAGGAATATAACCACATCACAACCAACTGAGTTGAGTGTCCTACTGCAAACAGATGCCTTGGTGCATGCTGACTTAGACAGATTGAAGCCTGTTGGAAATCTGTCTGCATTTATAAATTAGCCTACCTTTGCCAAATTGCCTGAGGCCGATTGCTGTCAGTGCAGCTCAGACCACAGCAGTTTGTGGCGTTGCACGCTGAACTTCTGGGCACTGAAGTTGTGACTGCATCTACTTTAAATTTGCTCCAAATGTGAAAACATTCAATGCAAACATCAGCCACTGATTTTTTTCCTCTAGTGTGACTGAGCCATTAAGAAGTCATGTTAAAACCAATATTAGGATAGTTAACATAAGCTTTTTTTAGAATTGGTAAATGGACCGGTTCTTATATAGTGCTTTTCTACTTTACCTGAGCACTCAAAGCACTTTATACATCTTGGCTCGTTCACCCATTCATACACGTGCTTTTTCTCTGCCTTTTCTACATAAGTGCTTTCACATACACTCATAGTCCGATGGATGCATCAGAGACATGGTGTTAGTATCTTGCCCAAGGAGTAGATGGTACCTACCTGTAGTGATAGAGCCGCCAATGGACTCTAGTCAATGGAGTCCATTGGAGGGTCAGGACATTGTTCCACATGTAGGACAAAGCCGCAGTTAACCCACTGCAGACCTGCTGGAAATATTCAGTTTGGCTGAAGTATTTCCCTGGAAACTACTTCAAATACTTCAAAAAGCTTTAGGATTAGTGAATCCTAAAGTCTGTAGGATTCACTCACTTGCTAACTGGTGACCTTTATCAACTCTACTAGCATATAGCAAACAGGAAATTGGAGAGACCAGGAAACTGAAAGGTTAGAGCCATTGTCACCTACTATCTAATCTAGAGTTTCAGTGAGTGGTTGCTATTTTATTTTCATTCATAATTATTATACTAAACAATTATGTTGTATAGTTTATTGTTCAACATTTGGTATATTAAATTATCTACTCTGTAAAGTTATCCAGTTTTTTTAAAATGTGATTTCCTCAGAGTCTAACATGGGATTCAAACATTTCAAAACCCAAAACCAAGAAAAACATGCTATTTCTGCTAAAAACAGTTTTATTCACTAATCAGTAAAAGATTTCACATCTTTTAAATGTCCAGTAAATCCAGTAAAAAATCCAGTAAAACAAACTATATCATGTGTTTTTTGATGTACATGTTTCTGTGGATGTGTCTGCTGCAGGTAGCAAGTCTGATGGCCAGAAGAGTCCGAGTGATTCGGTGTTTCTGAGGATGGATGAGATCCCCTACATCAGAGAGGACAGATGTGAGCCTGGTTAGTCTAACGGTTTATGTTAAAAAATAAACGCTTCCACACAAAATATAGACACGGGTACAGAGAGGAAGTCACGTCCATGTCTTTTAAGGTGACAGCAGACATGAAACGTATACAACACTAAAATATTCCAAAAGAACACACTCGTCACACTACACATCATCATGGAAAATCTTTTTCTGCATTAATAAGATAAGATAAGATAAGATAACCTTTATTGCATGTAAGGCAGGTTTACCACCAGCTTGAATCCTTGAAAAAAGCTTGAAATCTCCAAACACAAACATAATATAACAGATAGTTTTAGCACATGGCTCTCAAACTTAGCACAGAGTCACACAGGACTTTAGTCTGTCCTCTAGCAGAGACCAAAGCTATTTATCACTGACAGGTCATAATCTCTCTCTCTCTCTTTCTCTCTCTGTCTCTCCCTCTCAGACATGGCCTCTGTTCCCATAGAAACGGACACATCCCCTTTCATCAGCAGCCTGTCGCTGAGTGGTTCAGAGGACACACTGGGCAAGAAACTGCTGCTCAAACTAAGTCAGTCACACACAAGCCACCTATTCACCAACCCTTTCTATTCATTTCACTCACTTCCTACTTGGATTTGATTCACATGCAAACTCAAACACACAC